CCCTCTAGTTCGATCGTCAAGAGAAGGACAACCTCCCATGACTACCTTTTGATCTTAATCTAAACTAACCTAAAACAATATATTCACGGATGGTTGCCCTTTCCAGGATTTGGGGGATGGGGTAATTAAAACTAGGACGGATACAAATTTTGTACATTTTGTATATGATCGAAAATTTTTATGTTAAAAGGTCCTATAAAAATACAATGCATCAGAAAATTTTAATGTTAAAAAGGTCCTATAAAAATACAATACACTAGAAAATTTTAATGTTAAAAAGGTCCATAAAAATACAATACATTAGAAAATTTTAATGTTAATAAGGTCCTATAAAAATACAATAATTCAGAAAATTTTAATGATAAAAAGGTCCTATAAAAATTTAATACATCAGAAAATTTTAATGTGAAAATTAGCTTGCAAAAGAGTGTATATAATGAGGGGGGGCGGGGGGGAGATGATACTCCTAAATTTGTATTCATAAATATACTTCGTTTCAATGAGTTTTACTAATGGCTCAGAATGTGCACTGTGTATGCATCTATGCATTACTATAACGTATACAGTATGCATTCATTTCGCATTCATCTTCGGATACAATTAGATGCAAATAAATAATTTGCAAAACAGATTTTTGACTGATTGAGTTTAGATATATTTAGATATATCCAGATAAATGAATTATTCAGATATATCAAATAGGTTCACCGACAAAGGGTCAAACGATTCAGGGTCAAACGACACAGGGTTAAACGACAAAGGGTCAAACGACAAAGGGTCAAACGACACTGGGTCAAACGACAAAGGGTCAAAAGCGCGACAAAGGGTAAAACGACATAGGGTCAAAAAATGCGACAAAGGGGCAAATTTTTTTTTTAAGTTTTGACAAATATTACAGTTAGTATTTATTTATTACTATTTAGGGTTAGGTTAGGTTAAGACACTTTCTGGGCCGAGCGCTGCGGCTAGGACAGGCTAGGGGGCCGAGCGCTGCGGCCACATGGTCAATTATATCCATGTCTAACATGTAAGATCCATGTACAAAGATGATAGGAGGGTTGCGAGTTTCCTATGATTTAAATCAAAAAATATTTTTATCATTTTGACCTTTTGTCGTTTGACCCTTTGTCGCACTTTTGAACCTTTGAACCAATATCTAGATATATCCAATATCTAGATATATCCAATATCTAGATATATCCAAAATCTAGATATATCCAATATCTAGATATATCCAATATCTAGATATATCCAATATCTAGATATGTCTAATATCTAGATATATCCAATATCTAGATAGGACTAAATATATCTAGATTTATATTAGGAATCTACGCCGGGACCAGAAAATAAAGTTTGTCTTGTCTTTTATCTTCTTTTGAAGTTTAAAGATAATATAAGTGTTATCTTCTTCTTCCTTTTTTCAGTTCTTTGGAGTTATTTGATTAGTATATTAGTAGTTTAAGACTAAACTATTAAAACCCAATCTCGAACAAACAAATTTCAGATTGTCTTTTAAGCGGTTTGAAACTGTTCATTAAAATTGAATTATAAAACCTAGAAAAAATATGCCGATATTCGGGAGGTCGAAATCCTCTCCGGATTGGTCGGACCTAGGCAGGGTTTGTGTCGACCTATTGGAAAGCCTACCAAGAGAAAATGAGAATGAGCATCTCCGGGAAATCTTTCAAACTATTAGGGAGTTGAAATTGTATCATACATCAAGAGATGCAAGCTGTTTTTTTATATATCCAGGAGTTTTTTCTTCTATCTTTTTCTATTTACAGTTGTCTTGAAAGGGTTTTAGTCTTTGCCAAAAACTTTAATTTCATATTCCCTATATCCTTGCAACCCAATGTCATGTACCTTAGATATTTCTGTTAGATCAAATAATCTAAGTTTGAAGGTATTGTGTATGTACTCGAATTAATTCCTTTTACTCATCTTTTCAATATAAACTTTCTATTGTTTCTGGTTTCCTTTCTTCTATAGAGAAAGTTTTCGGGTTTGTATATGTACAATTGGGATTTTTATTTTCATTTTACGATTTTCTCGTATTTAAAGGACAATGAAGGACACCATAATGAATTCAGGTAATCTTAGATCAAATGGCACAATGCCGAGGACTGAGATACGAAAGTAGTACAATAGGACGGAGAGGGTTGAGTACGATATGTACGGAGTAGGTGGAGATACGATAGGACGGAGAGGGTTGAGTACGCTATGTACGGAGTAGGTGGAGATACGATAGGACGGAGAGGGTTGAGTATGATATGGACGGAGTAGGCGAGGATACGATAGGACGGAGAGGGTTGAGTACGATATGGACGGAATAGGTGGAGATACGATATGACGGAGAGGGTTGAGTACGATATGGACAGAGTAGGTGGAGATACGATAGGACGGAGAGGGTTGAGTACGATATGGACGGAATAGGTGGAGATACGATAGGACCAAAGAGAATAGAATATATATTAGAGTGGAATTTACTAGAAAAAAGTGTAAAACAGCCGTTTTGTTGTACTGTTTCCATACTGCAGGTGTACTTCAAATATTTGTGCTATTTTATTAAATCTAAAATTAATATAAAAAGAAAACCAAATTATGAAATAGGCTGGTTTCATCATTGACCAATGATCATTTCACATAGACTCTATACCTTTCACTTTACAAACGACGATTTTCCGTTATACCTATAAATCAAATGATGTTTTTTATTCAGCAAATTAATTTTATGAAGATGGTTGAGTACGATATGGACGGAGTAGGTGGAGATATGATAGGAAGGAGAGGGTTGAGTACGATATGGACGGAATAGGTGGAGATACGATAGGACGGAGAGGGTTGAGTACGATATCGACGGAGTAGGTGGAGATACGATAGGACGGAGAGGGTTGAGTACGATATTGACGGAGTAGGTGGAGATACGATAGAACGGATAGGGTTGAGTGCAATATGGACGAAATTGGTGAAGATACGATAGAACGGAGAGGGTGGAGTACGATATGGACGGAGTAGGTGGAGATATGATAGAACGGAGAGGGTTTAGTACGATATGGACGGAATAGGTGGAGATACGATAGGACGGAGAGGGTTGAGTACGATAGAACGAAGACTGAGCAGCCAGTTCTCCAATGAGATTTAAAGATCTCCGAGAATAAATATTTCTCTAAGTTTCCTAAATTGAAGAGTAAATGTAAATATGAAGACTATGTAAACATCTCTACCTATTCAATCTTATTTATCCTTGAGCCAACCTTCCTTATCATCACAGAATTATTTACACAAACGAAGGAATTACAACTGTTTGTTATAACTAAGGCTTCCACGAAACAATAGATTCTCTCGCGAACATTTTCGTGTTTTTGCACAAAATGATTTTTTTTGCACCGAATTTTGCATCAATTTCGTATTAATACGATACCTGCGCATTCATGCGAAATAAAAAAAAATGTTAAACAAAACTGAGCATGAATATAGAATTCAAGTCATAATTTTTGCATAATTTTGCATAATTTTTGCATAATTTTGCGCATGAATACAAGGTCACGAAATTTGGCAATTCTCATTATACCGAAAAATGAAAATTTTTGTGGTGGATATAAATACGAAAACAAGGAATTAGTTTCAGTATAACAAAATTCTTTCTATAGCTCAATATTTTATACATGAACAATAATAATATGATAATCATATTCATAGTTTAGACACAGTTAAAATTTTGGTTACTTTGATTAATAAATTTTGTCATGATAAATATGTTTTGAGAAAACGCTAAAAAGGTGCGTCTCAGTTTTACTGATGACATCTTTGTATTAATCTATAGATATGTTTTGTATACATTTCTCTAGTTTTCTGTCTGCTTGTTTGTTACGTATCTTCGTTGTCTGGGCCAAATTGTGGTAACATGGGTGTTACAGGAAGTTTCTTAACTTAACCTAACCCGTGGCCGCAGCGCTCGGCCCAGAAAGTTTACTAGGACAGACCCCAAATTGTCTTAAATTTGTGTGCAAGAAACCATGAGTGATTAAGTTATTCATTTCCTGAAATTGTTTCTCGAAATTTTAAGAAATAGCTCGAAATAACGAAATATGTCGAAATAACGAGAAATATGTCAAAATAACGATACATATGTCGAAATAACGAAATAGCAGGAAACAGCGAAATATGCAAAAACCAAGATTTTCTTCAGAATTTGCGCGAAATAGCTTTAACGCATTAATGCGAAATGATGTCGAAATTTCATGCAATATTTACTCGAAACGTAAGAAAATCTTTGCCCAATTATTGCACAATTTTCGTCAAAAAAATTCGATTGGAAACCCTAGTCATTACATACAGTGTGATTAAAAAAGCTGAAGCAAACACTTGAGAGACAAAATGTCTTACTGTTATTTTTTGCCACAGTGATTCACGTAAACAGGTTTACACTGAAGATATTTTTGTACTTAACCGATTATCAGTTTGTTAGTCAGATTTAAGCCGACCATTAAAATTCAGGAACATTCATTGTTCTAATCAGTTTCTCGAAATAAAAAACACAATTGAAATGCACCAAAAAAGTTTTCATCTTCTAGTAAAAAGTATTTAAGTTTAAATTTCTAATCAATGTTTTTATTTATGCAAGGGGTGATGCATAAAAATTCGTTTTTATAAAGTTGAAAAGTTATAAATTTTAGAGGCTGATGAACAAACTACGTTCTGGCAAGAAACATACAGTTCTGGCTTTTTACTCAAGGTTCTCCCAAACCTAAGAAAACTTGATTTTGAAGCTAAGAAGGATGTTAGACAGATTTTCTTCTCCGCGCTCCAAAGACGGATTGGAACCACATATCCTACTGTAGACTATATCCTAGAGAAGGTATTTACATGGATGGTGGCAAAAGGTTGATTTAAAGTCTGGATTTATCTTTTGGTTTCCACAACCGGCCTTACAAACCCCAAATCAAAACTTTTTATATCAATTTGATATATTAACACGATCTAAATCTTCATAGAAAATATTTCAGGGGTCTGAAGTTTTAAATTGTTAATCCCCTCAGAAAACTCTAATACATATATATTTAATATTTCTTGGCCATTTAAAATGGGATATTATAGGCGCTAATCCTTCTATAAGAAAACATTAAAGTCTCTCTTGTTAATGATTCTACGACTTCTAAAAAGCACCAGTGATGTTTTGAGTTGCTATTTCCATCCAAATAATACTTCAAGCTAAATGTTTCCGCTGTGGATATCTAGTGATTGTAGACAAGCTAACTTCAAAAGTACCGATCTCTAGTTTTCTAATTCTTAATTTATTCTTAGCCTGAGATATTGAACTTACTGTGTGCCCAGTATGAGAGTCAGGGAGATGGATTAAACACTGGTCCCATACTCAGAGAGTGTTTATCCTACCCAGAGCTCACTTCAGTCAGTAGTATTTTGTTTGATACAGTGAGGCCCATAAAAGTGTGGAATAGGAAGACGACATTCAAGAATATATGTGTTGTTTAATGTTGCATAAAGCAAATAGCTTGACAATCAACTTGAATAGAATGTTTATTCTGCACACTAACAGTGCACATTTGCTGTGAATTAAACTATTTAAAATCATTTTAACAGTCGTCTTTCTTTTCCACAGTTAATGATACCACTGTAGATCTTAGTAAATTATAAACCCAGTTTAAGGGGACAGTGGCCGAATTTAAAGAATTTGAACGGCGGTTTAAATTTAAGCCGCGGTTTAAATATGGTTGGTTCCACTTAAAATTGTATCAAATGTTTCAAGATTTAAGCCGGCGCTTAATTTAAACCGGGTTTTGGCGGATTTAAACCGCGGCTCAAATTCTTTAAATTCCATCTCAGTACAATTAATTTGAACGATCCTTCAGTTGTAGAGTGGCCTATTTGATTCACTATTGTACCCTTTTAAAACTTCACCTGCAGTACAACCTTAAAGAAGCAACGTCGTTTATATCATCTTAAAGGAAATGAGTCTTTGGAACAAAATCAAATATTTAAACCTCAATATCTTTAGATATCAATGTTGTAAACCTTTGATATTTCAAACTCAGATTATTTGATCTAACAGAATTCATAGTTTGAAATATCTAAGGTCTGCAACATTTGGTTCCAAAGATTCGTGGGGAAAATATACATTTGAAATATTCCCTTTTAAGACAATTAACAATTATTTCAATATAAAAGTATCTTCAGCTGTTTCATTTACAAAATTGTAATTTTTGACACTTTAATTAAATGTAAATCTCATGACAGAATTCACTTACTTTTTTCAGAAAACTAAAGGGACTGTGAGCGTAATTTCAATTTCATGCTGAGATGAAAATGCCCGATTTACAACGGTGGTCTTTGTATGATCAAGTTTGAATTATAAATCAATGTTTCTAATTCTGAATTATTTTCAATTGTGGTTCTTCTAATTTTAAGTGAATTGCGCATTTCTACTGCACGAAACATATAGGAGTTATCAGAAGTAAATACTTTTAGACCTAGAAAAACGAATATTTCTTTCCCAATATTGATAAGATAAAGGTTTCTGAATCAGGCAGAGCTATGTTTGCATGGAGGGCCACTTGAAATTACGTTAACAGTCCCTTTAAATCTAAATTTTGAAAACATATTAATCTTAATGTGAAAAATGACTTATTTTGAATTTAAAATTTTGAATTATCTTTAGAATTGAGATTTATTGAATATCCAGAGACTGAGAACCAATAAACAAACAACATACATGTCTACATCATACAATACAAACAGTGTATGGAATTGAAACCTAATTTCCGTGATGATTATTATTTTCATGTTTTTTCGAGTTTTGTTTGAACTCTGTACATGTAAATATGTTTTATGAATTAAAAATACCCTAAACAATGTATTCTATAATTTATCTATCAAGTATAGTTATTAATTATTATTGTTTAGGTGTTCCTTGCATCTGAGAGTTTATACAAACTATTCTCATACTGTGAGCTTCCAACCTTTGATACAGCTTCAGATGCTTTCTGCACACTTAGGAACATTCCAGGAGTCAGGAGTCAGGAGTCAAGAGTCAGGAGTCAGGAGTCAAAAGTAAAGAGTCAGGAGTCAGGAGTCAGGAGTCAGGAGTTAAGAGTCAGGAGTCAGAAGTCAGGAGTCAGGAGTCAAGAGTCAAGAGTCAAGAGTTAGGAGTCAGGAGTCAGGAGTCAGGAGTCAGGAGTCAGGAGTCAGGAGTCAGGAGTCAGGAGTCAGGAGTCAGGAGTCAGGAGTCAGGAGTCAGGAGTCAGGAGTCAGGAGTCAGGAGTCAGGAGTCAGGAGTCAGGAGTCAGGAGAGGAGTTAATAGTCAAGAGTTAAGAGTTAAGAGTTAAGAGTTAGGAATCAGGATGATGTTATAGTTAAGATTCTAAGAATACTCCTTATTACTGAATGGTAAGTATAGATTGGTGCTAACTAAACACAAAAAACTATCCAGTGAGTTCTTGAACACAAACTACGAAAGGAAGGAGAACACACTTTATTTCATCCCTACTTCTATAAAATTTCCATGATTAACTACATTAAAATAACTGGATGGGCCAACTAAGCTAATAAATTATGAAACAGCGTGCTCACATTCTCTACTCTTAAATCTTTCTATATCAATAGATTAAATGTTCATTTTAACATAGAACCTAAGTCGTAAAAAATAAGATAAATCTTAATAACATTATTAGGTTTCTAGCTTGTTAATATTTGAAACCTTTAAATAATAATTTAGCCCTACCTACATGTATGTTCCAGCTTGTTAAAGAAACTGTATTTTCTTGCCAGGTTCTTCCAAAGGTTGGATAAGATGATATTGAGTGAGAACTACGCGACCCGGAGACAATTTATCAAACTACTAAGGGTTGTAGATTCACAACTTAACTTTTCTGAAAACAAAAACTATCTTCAATTCTACAAATTCAAATTTTAAATAAATTAAAATTGAAGAATTTTCAACGTTTTAGTGACATACTTTTGGAACGGTAAGAATTCTGGTAAAACTAGAAGTGCAAAAGCTCTGTGTAAATCGCTAGTCTAAAAAAAGAAGAAGAAAAAATCATTTTTTTTAAAACTCTTAATCTAAATCTTTGATTAAAAAATATTTACTATATTTATTAAGTGACGATTTTCCGTGTTACAACTTTCCAAATGTGCAATTTCCCAAGCGGCAACTTCCCAAAGATTATGCTATACTTTCTGAAGCGCAGCAGGCTGCAGGGGGGGGGGGGGCGAGCGCTGCGGCTAGGACAGACTCGGGAAATTGCCACTACTTGGAAAAATGCCTTAAAATAGTGTCATGATTTTACTAAAATCTTGATTCGTGTTTGTTTTTCTCCATTTTTACATAGCACACTCAAATTTTATAAACTTAGAAAGACAAAATCAAGGTTTAGAAAAAAGTAAAAAAGATATATTCTCAATTTCCAGGACAAACTTCACAGTAATGAGTCAATATATATCTAACCCCCACCACCTGAAAACTGTAATGGGGCTTCTCAAGGACAAATCTCCAAGTATACAATACGAGGTATTATCAGCCAAAAGAAGGCTCAATTTCTTTGCTTGCCAAAATGGTCATTTTTGCCATGATAGATAGAATTACATTGATCATAGATATTTAACATTATCAAAGTTTAGGTTAGTCTTTTTGAAGCGCTACAGGCTACGGGGTGGAGGAGGGGGGGGGCGCTAAGTCTAAGACATGCTAAAGAGGCCAAGCACTAAAGCTAGGGCAAGTAAGGAGGGCCAATTGAATTTTTTTTAAATTACCTTATTATGGCAAAAATGAAACCATTATGGTAATTGTAACTTATGGCATGCTTATTTTGGATTGCCACAAACTCTGATTTTCTAACCGCTATATCTTTGCTACCCAATGTCTGAGACCTTTGATCTTTCTATGAATTATTTTAGATTAAATAATCTAAGTTTGAAATATCAAAGGCTTTCAGGTTGAAAAGATATTAGAATTAGAAAATCAGGTTTGTGACAAAGACTCAATTCCTTTAATAAAACTTCTCCTTCCTTACAGGCATTCCACGTATTTAAAATCCTGGCAGCAAATCCCCGCAAACCTGAGAGTGTAGTTGATATACTTACAAGAAACAAATCTAAACTTATCAAACTTCTCACAAACTTCCTTCCAGATAGGTAATTGTAATATTACGATCTTATTATTATTTGTTTACCTTTGCCACATATTTTTGTAAACCTTTGATATCTCAAGGTTAGCTTATTTGATCTAACATAATAGTTTGAAATATCTAAGGTCTCCGACATTAGGTTGTAAAGATTAAGGGGTCCAAAAATAAAAGATTGTAGCAAGAATTCAGTTCCTTTTCAAATCCCTATTTCTTTGCAACCCAATGTAGTAGCCCTTTAATACCTCAAACTATGAACCCTGTATATAGATAAAGGATGAGACGTCAGAGACGACAATACGAATTTCTTTCAGTCGTTTTTCTTAAAATGATAGCTCCCAAAAGCTTTAAACTTTCTTTGTCAAATCATTCAGTTCATTCCACACATCAACAGAAACTATATCAAAGACCGAAGACCTATTTGAATCTTAAGTTCGATAGAAATAAAGAATTTCAAGTCGTCATTGAAGTCTTATTCTGTGTAGGTAACCCTGTACATGTTTTTTATAAATTCTATTTTTTTAGAAATTCTGAGGTTCAGTTCAGTGAAGATAAGGAGTATTTGTTAAAGCAAATTGAATCCTTGTAAACAGTAATCATCCTGTATGTTTTGTTACATGTTTCTAGTCGTATAGTTTACCTACAGTATAGTTTACCTACAGTATAGTACCAGAAAGCTCTGGAATAGGAAGACGACTTTATAACAATACTTATGTGTATTTGATGTTGTTACAAAGCAAATCGTTTTACTAGACACTTACTAAATCACTATTCATTTAAATTGTTCTGTTTAGTCAGAACAATTTCTGTTTCTCATAATCATTTGACTATTTCAAATGATAACGTCTTCCAATTTCAGAATTTTCTGGTTATCACTGTATATCTCTGTATTTTATTTTATGTTCTTTTTCTAAAATTTAATATCATAAACTTGCTTCCTAAACTAAAAAGTAATATTTATACTGGATATCGAATAAATAAGGAAATCTCAGTTCGATTCATTAAATTAAACCACATTCTTACAAAGGAATTGAGTCTTTGTCACAAACTCTGGTTTTATAATCCCTAAATCTTTGAAACTCAATGTCGCAGACCATAGACATTTCAAACTATAAATTTAGTCAGATCAAATAATCTAAGTTTGAAATATCAACTATTTACACCGCTTGAGGTTACAAAGATGTAAGGATAAAGAAAGTTTTAGTTTGTGGCAAAGACTCAATTCCAATTTTCTCAATTCTCCGTTTTTTGTTTTTTCCTGCCTTCTTTTCTTTTCTCTTCTCTTCTGTTCGCTTCTCTTCTCATTCCATCTCTTCTCTTCTCATATTTTCTCTTCTCTTCTCTTNAGGAGTAATCTTGAACCATGGTCTCACTATCACCTCAGGACATATTCTCCAGTATAATCTTTTCCCTTCTCTTCCCTTCTCTTCCCTTCTCTTCCCTTCTCTTCCCTTCCCTTTCTCTGTCCTATCTGTACCTGTGCACAAACCCCTATCCCCTGAACTGTCTCCTGTGTGAAGGAGCACCATCCGCAGGGGGTTTGCTTGAGGCAGGAGGAGCAGGTTCTCATCTCTTTACAGTTCGGGGGGCAGGAGTCTCCTGACTTTAACACCTGCAGAATATTTGATTAGAAAATGGTGTCCAGAATCAGATCCTAATGATTATTGTGATTAATTTTTTAGGGGCAGTAAAGATGAATTAATCTCGTGGGGTGAGAGATGGGTGAGAGGGCCTCAATCTTTTATGACATTTAAAATGGATGGGTGGGTGGGGGGGGGGGGGCTAAGCCTCTGTTTGGGGCTAAATCAACCGGTATCATAGAGTTTACTATTCAGGGGGGATCTTTTGCCCCCCCCCCCCATTGTCTTTTTGATTTGAATTTATAAGATTAATTTAATTGTCAAAGAATTTGTTATTTTAACTTTCTTTCTGTCTTTAGCAGGCCAGAAGTATCTGGATTTTTTTAGGAAACTCGTTTTTCAAAAGTTTTTAAAATTCCACGGGAAACGCCGGGTACTGCAGCTAGGATCAGTTACATCAAATAAAAAGGCCAGATTGGATGAATCCTAAGAGATAAACTAATCAAAATATAAAGAAAATGTCTATTTAAATGTGTCCAGTCTGTAGAGAGGTAAATTGAATAATATGAGGGTGCAGGCCAGGAGTGGAAGGGACACCCCGACCGCCTTGAGCCTCACAGATTTTCCATACAAAACCGAACCTCCCGGATTTTGCCATTCAGCACCGAACCACGCTATACAGCATAAATTTTAACCTTAAACTTTAAACATTTTTTAAAATATTCGAAAAAACTAATTCTGGAGTGAATTTAAATGCTTTTTTTGTGACCTATAATTTATGCCATATCCTTTAAAATATTTTGCTTAAAATTAAAATTAATCATTTATTTAAAAAATCAAAAAACGTTTTAAGTTTTAAAATAACACATTCTTTGTATAGCGGAGGCTCAGTTTTGTATGATAAATCTGGGCGGCTAATGACGGTCGGAGTATCCTTACCTCCCTCGCCAGGATTTCTTTGAGTCTTCAACTTAATTTATGTTCCAAGTCTGAGATAAAATTGGAGTTCTTTTCTTCCAGAAGATTTATCTGTGTTCAACCTTTTCACAAAGAGGGGGGGGGACTTCACGCTGCCACGTTTAATAAAAAAGGTTGAATAAAAAAAGAACCAATTACTTGCCTCTAACTCGAATTTTCTTTATTATCAAATCTTTACAACCTGATGTAAATTGTACCTAAATTCAAACTATAATACTAATATTAAAGGACACGTTTAAGGTTGCAATGATATAAATATACATGAGTGTCCACAAAAAATTTCAGCCCATTCGGTCCAGCCGTTCGTGTAAACATGATATTCTGTAATCCTACAGTACGTTGTATAATGTATATTAATAAAAATCTATGTTTGTAAACATATAAGTAAAAACATAAATCATTAAAACTGCGTTTGTACCAGGATAGATATGTTTTGAGGACTTGTTATGGAGTAGGTGTTTACTACACTGATTATTTTGTAATATATTATTATATTGAACTCCTAAATCTATTTTAAACTTTTATACCATAAAAAATTACCAAAATCCTACAATATTATTAGTACAACATTCCTGCAGAAAAAATAACATTGATAAAGAAAAATGTTATTGTTTCTCAGATTTTTTTTCGTTTTTCTGCACTTCTATACTGGAATATCATATTTTTGGACCAAGTTTAATTCGGTAACTTGGTAGAATTACGGGAATGGTCTTACCTTGGTTTAACAAGCTGTGTATTATTCTCTATATTATAAGCTTTTTTCAATGTTTCGACACAAAATCAAAAATAATCTTATTTTACAACGTTTAAGATAAATATATTGATATAGACGATTTCTTCTTTATATAATAAATGAAGATTTTCTTCTTCACATTTACTCTTTATTTTGTTTTATTTATGATATTTGATGAACATGATATTTTCTATATAGTTAATATACATAATATATATATATAGAATATATTGTAATATATATTTTTTCTTTAAATTCAAACTTTTTTCTTCTTCTTTCAATTCCATCTTTTTTATGATATTTGATGAACATGATCTTCTATATAGTTAATATACATGATATATGAAGAATATATTGTAATATATATTATTTTCTTAATCCATTCCCTTGGGATATCATCAGGGATGTCAGCTGACAAGATTAACTTTATATTCCAGGGGTAAATACCCCCCCTTGCCAGTTTCACATTTTTCATTTTTCCAAATTGGTCGAAAATTATTCTTTAACGTATCTACCCCTCTTATATTAAGTTACAGGGATCAACAAAACCGTCTAAATATTATTTTCACGGATTTCACCAAAATTAGTATTTTTTATTATCTGAACTCAAATTTTTTTTTACCAAGAGGGGTGAGCGGGAGGGGGGTGGGTGATTGACCCCTGATATTTCTAGAATTAGAAAAGAGATGGAGAAAATGAATAAAATATTAGAAAATTGATTAAAATCTTTCTTTCTTCCTTTTAGCATAAAATCTTCATCTTCATTCAAAACATCTATTAGACATTCTTCATTGTTTCTTTTAAATTTCTTTTGATAAAAGATAAAAGCCAGAACTCTTTGACAGTGTAAAGCATTCAAATTGAATTTCTGACAATCTGACATATGATGATATGGGTGATATTCCTTTTAAAAATAAACAGTCCTCTCCCATTTACATTTCTTTTTTGCTTTTGCATTCTTTAGCTTTGTGAACTTTTTACTCTTATACTTTGTTTGTTTATTGTACAGACACTTATATTGTTTGTTCAAGATCAGTTGGAAGTATCGGGATGAGACTGCAGAGACGACTGTACGAAATTATTATGTCATCCTTTTTTGCAACCTGATGTCGTAGAATATTTGTTGATCTATTATTGACCTCACCAAATACATTAAAGGTTACACAGACATTAGATAAATTATGATTTTTACTGACGTTGATATCGTTGATATCGCCAAAAATAAAAGTGGTATTCATTTCTAATGTTTTAAGGGGAGGGGGAGGGAAATTAGGAAACCTGAACAAACAGAACCTAGGGTCCATGCGAGGCAATCAGAAGGGGAGCTGATTACATCCCTCAAACTCTAATTTTCTCATTTCTATACGCTTGTAAAAAAGTTTGATTACCTAATCTAGCAAAATTCAAAAGAACAGGTTGCAAAGATATTAGGTTTAGAAATTTAGAGATTGAGGAGAGTTCTTCTGTAAAATACAGGGATTTATATTTCTTAAAATCAGTCCCCCTTTTCCCTAACTTCTGAAAATCAAAAAAATTTCCCTGATGTTAAGTGTTTTTCAGGGTCTTATTCGCTTAACTGTGGATAATAAATGATTTTTAGGGGAAAATAAATATTTTTTTTGCTGAAAGATTTTAATTTCTCAATTTTTTCTTGAAAAAATTTACCCTTGGAAAAATATCTGAACAATCCCTTTAATAGAACAAAACAAAATCTGATCCAACAAACTTCAAGTTGTCTAAAAGATGTAAAATATCGAAATAAATGTTTTTACAAAGATCCCAGATTTGCTGAGCAAAGTAATGCTAAACAAATCAAAGAGTAGCAAAAACAATTCTCTGCAAAAGAAATTTGCAAATTTATTAAATCCAAATTGTTTTCTTGGAAATATACTCCTCTCAAAAGTTCACAGAAAATCGTGATTCAAGTTTAAGGAATTAAGACACAAATTCAAATATTCTAATCCCTATATCTTTAAATTATGATGAGTACCTTTTGGTTTCAAAAGCATTTTAGAGTGCATAATTATTCCAAAAAAGGATCACTGCATAGAGTGACATCTTCGAATTTCGAATCTTGCCAATAAAAAACCTCGTCATTTTACCATTTTGCATTATACTTTTCTCAAACGATCTTTAGTATGGCCAACAGAAATTCTGAAGAGAGGGCTACCTTCCAACCTGACTCTGATTTTAGATAAATATATCTTATTCTCAGTATACATTCTACATTCTGGGAATTAAATATATTAAATGAAAAAACCTGCTCTTTTATTTTAAGACCTCTTAATATATGTCTGTTTTATATTTTATCGTGTGTCAAAATGACCCAATCGATTTAGCCCACATTTTGGCATTTTGAAAATTATGCCAAAATTCCTCATTCTTCATATTTTGAAAACTTAACAAAAATCATAATTTTAAATAAAAAGAAATTTACTTGAAAGCCTAGTTTTAATCAATATCTAAGCAGTGATTCGGATACGGATCCACTATGAGCTCCCTGGAATCAGATCCATAAAAGGTATGCGGTTCAACCGCAACAGATCCAAAAAAAAACATCAACCAAACGAATAGAAAACAAACGGCATACACTTTCATAACAATATTTTAAGTGACAACATAGTGAGATATTATATCACGGTTTATCAAGTTTCTATACAAAAATGTCCTATAAAAGATGAATAAAAGTTAAGAACGGAACTAAATTCTTACGACAAATTTGTGAATCCGTTAATCTTTGAAACCTGACGGTGTAAATCTTAGATAATGTAAACTTAAGACTATACATTTAATCTAACATAATTTATAGTTTTGAATTCACAGGTCTATAACATCGGGTTGCAAAGATCCATTTCTTATAGGATTGATCCCGGATTCATTTATTACAGGATGGATCCCGGATCCATTTATTATAGGATTGATCCCGGATCCATTTCTTATAGGATTGATCCCGGATCCATTTCTTATAGGATTGATCCCGGATCCATTTCTTATAGGATTGATCCCGGATCCATTTCTTATAGGATTGATCCCGGATCCATTTCTTAAAGGATGGATACCGGATCCATTTCTTATAGGATTGATACCGGATCCATTTCTTATAGGATTGATCCCGGATCCATTTATTACAGGATTGATCCCGGATCCATTTCTTATAGGATTGATCCCGGATCCATTTTTTACAGGATGCATCCCGGATCCATTTCTTAAAGGAAGGATCCCAAATCCATTTCTCAAAGGAAGGATCCCAAATCCATTTCTCAAAGGATGGATCCCGGATCCATTTCTCAAAGGATGGATCTTGGATCAGCATAAAAATGAATGGATCAAGGAAAGGAAAAAAAAATTAAAATGAGCTTACCTTTCCGCATATACCTCCCAGGCATAGCATAGGCTTGAGAACAGCACTCAGACATCGGCCTAGGTTCACCGACCAGACACACCCCTCATCACCTGCATCTGCTCCGCCCCCTTCTAGGCATGCCTGACAGTCCTGGAGGGCGTGGCAAGGGGATGGACAGGGTAGAGGCGGAGAAGTTTCACCAATGACCATTTGGGTTTTATTTGCCTGGATTGACAGTTAAAATTGACATCAATAAAAAAGATTATATCCACACATATGTTCATAACAGAGGTGTTTACAGGATTTATTCCTGGGGGGTGAAAATTATTAAATGTGTCGGATTCAAGGGGTAACTTATTTTCTTAATATTCAGCCCGTTGTGTAAATTGCATAGTCCAAGGACTACATTTTTCCACCAAAAATATTTTTTAACAATTTTCTTAATAACTGCTCCTTTTCTAGAATATGAAGCAAAGATTTACGCTGACACGTCCAACCTACCCCATCCTCTCCTACACTCACTCTTTGCTTTCCAGATCTGAACAAAGAAAATTTAATATTTCAAAAGGACTTTTTAGTAATTTCCAGTGACCCTCCATTTAAAATCTAATTCAGAAAAGATTTGAGTTTTTGCCATAAACTCAACTTTTCTAATCACATTATCTATCCCTATACCAAACTAAATTTATCGTTTGAAATATCTAAGGTCTTCACTTATAGTCTCATCGTTTGTAGGCGACCTTGTATCTCTTTATATTGACAATAATAATTCAACAATTGCAAAACCTTTTATTTAAAAGTTTAGAAAATGGAAAAAGAGGAACCTTTTCCCTTTCAGGATTCTGTGATGAAAAATACTATAAATGATCAATTTACTGAACATAAAAGAAACCTTGATAAAAGTTGAATAGAACTATAGATTAACCTTTCAGATACATACACAACACATCCCTCTTCAACACCACTGTCAGACACTCAAATACAGATTCAAAACCAATCCAAATAAATAAATACAGATTCAAAACCAATCCAAATAAATAAATACAGATTCAAAACCAAACCAAATAAACAAATACAGATTCAACCAAACCAAATAAATAAATGAAGATTCCATACCAAACCAAACCAAATACAGATTCAAAACCAAACCAAATAAATAATTATTCATCTTAAAGAACTTTCTTTCTACAGCGAATGTTCTCAAAAAGAGATTGTATCCGATAAACCATGATGACCAAAATTTTTCAATTTTCATATCATTTCATTTCATTTTGATATAAACCGTTCTGAAAGGGACCGGAGACATCATATAAAGCGTTCCATGATCGATTTACATCAGTATCCTTTAGCCCTTAATGTAATAAAAATGTGTTAAAAAATTGAATTTCACTTAACGTCCATCTTTTTCTGCATGCCCCATAAAGCCGAAACTCACCGCATTTGAAAACATTAAATTTTGAAATGGAAAAACAGGAATTTTATTTTTAATATTAAAGTTTTAATGGGTACAATTGTGAATCGGACAAGCAACTCCTTAGCTAAAGGTCGACTGGATATTACGTCCACAGTACCTTTAGCAGGACATAAAGGCTTAGCCTTGCATCATTGCATGTCAGGCAGTAGAGCTAAGCAGTTCAACACAGACAACAAAATATAAGAAGGTGGTCTTTTGACAAAAAATAGGATTGAAATATAAGAAAAAATGAATATTTAACATATTTCTAAGTAACCTTAATTGGAAGAGTTGTATGAACTAACTATTAAACTTTAACCATATGAAAATAATCTACTCTATCCAAGAATTAGACAAGTTAAACTTTTCAGAATTAGAACAATGTTTCAAGGTTTAATTTTAAGAAAAGTTAATTGAATTTTTTGAATCAGTTTTCTAGTCGTTAAGAAACTGAGATTTGCTAACAACTCAAATTTTCTAATTCTTGTATCTTTACAACCTGATTTAACATTTAATATCTAAAAATATCTAATAAAAATGAGGATTTCTTTTTTTTAAAACTCAGTTCCATTGAATTTACCTTGTGAATTGTTTTGACCAAAAACAATTTGAATCCAGGCAGTTTGTGCAGGAAGTAGCAGAACATTCAAGCTCAGGACACTCACCAGATAATTCTGAGATCGAACCAAAATTTTGGATTTGATTTGATAAAAACTTACTAAAATGAAGGATTTATATGGATAAAAATGCCCAACTCTAATCCAAATGGGGGATTTAATTGAATACAAAATTACAAAAATCCAAATGGAGGATTTATTTCCAAAAAAATAAAGATTTTAATCCAAATGGCGGATTTATTTCCAAAAAAATAGAGATTTTAATCCAAAATGCGGATTTATTTGGATAAAAAATTACATTCCTCAATCCTAATGGGGGATTTATTTGGATAAAAAAATTACATTCTTTAATCCTAATGGCGGATTTATTTGGATAAAAAAATTCTAAATGGCTGAGTTATGAGAATGAAAAATGGCGGCCTTTAACCCCAAAAGGCGGGCTAACGAGAATAAAAAATGGTGAAATCCAACCCAAAACTTTGGATTTATGTTGATACAAAATAATTGTCTCCAACCCAAAAGGGCGTAATTATGGGTAATCAAATTTTATTTTAGAAATTATGTAAATAAAAATAAAAAACTTTAACAAAAATGTAAGACTAATGTAGATAAAAACAGAGGCTCTAGCCAAACTGACATAAAATAGGTAGACTTTGGTGAAAGAAAAACAGCTGAGCTTAACATACTTTTTCTAATGCACACGTACTGTATTACGCTGTATGTTATCCAACATTGCATATTATAATTCTACCGAGCTTTTCTCTGGCTTATCCCGGGGGAGAGTCAGCTACTCTTTATTCCGTCTGAGCCCTCAACAAATTACTCTTCACTCAAAACCAAGAGGGAACAGGTGGAAGCAAGGTTGTTTATTAATGTTAGATACTCTGTATGCGCTCCTCCATTGTACGGAAAATGTCGTCTTCATACAATTGGACACTCAAAATCCTCATATGACGTAACTGATTATTGGCGGAAGATGGAATTGTTGGAAAGGATTTTCTCCACTTGTCAGTGTTTTAAAGCTGAAAAGCGGAGAAAATCCTTGCAAAAGTTGCAATAAGAACTAAATGAACTAAACACTTGACAAAAACTTAAAATACCTAATCCTTCTTTGTTGTAGATCTTTCATATCTTAAACTTTGAATTTTTAAGATGAAAGGTTCTGAATTTGAAATATCAAAGGTTTACAACATCAGCTTGCAAAGACTAAAAAAAATTGGAAAAACTAGTTTGTCACTTGTGGCATATCTTACTTTTTCTCCCTCACCATTTTGCGTATTTTCAACCGATTTGATTTCTCCCAGCCCTGCATTTAAATCACACCTTGTACCCCTTAAACTTATCAAAAACAGTCAAATAATGATTTGCATTAGTTTAGAACATTAATATGATGATTGAAAAAAAACAAGTCGGAAAATTTGGATTTAAATGTCATGAAACTCTAATTCTTAACTTAAAGTATAAATTATTCATACTTTTTCAAGAAGAATACCTGTAGAGGGAATTAACTCTTGACATTAATGTTAATAACAGAAAATTCTTGGAATCTAAGTTTACTAGTTATGCTTAGGAACCTCTCCATCTAAATAATGTTCACCATATTTCTATAAGAATTTATATTTTATGCAAAACTAAAAGTTTTTTGCCCTATCAATCATTTAAAAGTTTTCCCATCCTACATTTCTCTGACACATGGATCAAAACATTCATACTACCCATTATCTAGCAAAGTTTTTAATCAACAAGCATAGAATGTATAAAATGGGCCAATCCATCTTAGTATTCAATATTCATTTGTGCTTAGTACCACTAGTAATACGTTATTTGTATAATTTATGTAAAATTTAGAAACATGAATATTTTGATTGGATTTGTTATTTATTTATTTATTTATTTGCCACTTTATTCATTTTTGTGAACAAACTAAATTTTTTTTCTTTATTAAAATTAACGTACGATTAACGAACACATGGACTTGTTCGAATAAATTAAAAAATGATTTGTTCCTGTTTTTGTTTGTTTTTAAAACTAAGGACTTAAAATTGTTCACGATTTTTGGCAAACGGCTCTACATCTATTTCTAGCAGCGAAATTTGTTCACAATACGAATGTGGGGTGTATTCTATTCCCAAGACTACCATGAATCATCCTAATGTCGGATGAAGAAAGAAGGTTTGTTCAATACATTCTTTCATTCGGACATCATCACTTACTTCCGATATAGAGTTCTTAAAAACTTTAACTTATTTGGACAGTCAAAGGAGAAAATACCAGTTTTGGTTTGGTGTATATATTTATAAATACTTGTCAAGATTTGGAGAGAAAACATGAAAAATTCGGCAAAATTCACCCCTAATATTGTTAATATACTGAAAAATAAAGAAAATTATTAGATTATCATTGAAAAAACCTAAATTCCATACTTTAACTCATTTTAACTTGGAACTAATATTTCTTTTACCAGGCCTATACAGTTTATTGCAAAATCACTTATTCCCTTTTCAAAAATCATTTATTATCCGTATATGTTAGGAAAATTTCAAGTGGCAAGATGTATATAAAATTTCTAGTTGATGTCTAAAAATTTATAGTTCTTAGAAGTTAATTTTTAAAAAAGAGTCCAATCTAAAATGGTGAGATAGTCAAACAAACTTTCTTTCCGTTTTAGTAAAGATAGAAGAATGGACCAGATAGATCTTAAACCATTAATCTTAGTTTCTGCACATACAATCAGTCCTAGCCAACAAATACCCACTTCTACAAGAACAGATAATACTTTAACTTTGCAGTTTACAGGTTTGTCAAAACTACCTCTGCGCTTATAAAAATATTACACAATCTGCACTCATTATAAACTAGATTTACACGTTTTTCATCTTTAAAGCAATACACTTGTGTTTAAAAGGTCACTGCCTTATCAAGCAACGAAGGTTTAAATGTAGATAGCAGACCAGATTAAAGAATTTTATAAAAGATGTTTTCTATCCTATTAGTTAGTCTGAAGATGACATCAAAGTAATGAAAAACACGAAAAGCATAAAACTTAAAGTAAACTTTACAGTAATTTACATAATTTAGTTTTTTTTCACATTTGAAACAAGAATGGGTCTTTCATAACCCATGCTGGTTGATTTGTACCATTTGAATGAATTTTCATATTGGAAATATTTTTTTTTTATCTTGCTTAGAAGAATTGTATTAAATAGTTAATTTATCTTAAATAAGTTTATTTAGATATCTTATTTTTAATGATTCTGATGTCTTATTTTTTGATTTTCTATCTCATATTCGTTGATTTGTCTAATTATCTTTATCAATTTGGTTGATTTATCTTATCTCAATTTGGTTGATTTATCTTATCTGAATTTGGTTGATTTATCTTATCTCAATTTGGTTGATTTATCTTATCTCAATTTGGTTAATTTATCTTATCTCAATTTGGTTAATTTATCTTATCTCAATTTGGTTGATTTATCTTATCTCAATCAATTTGGTTGATTTATCTTATCTCAATTGGGTTGATTTATCTAATCTCAATTTGGTTGATTTATCTAATCTCAATATTTGGGTGATTTATCTTATCTCAGTTTGGTTGATTTATCTTATCTCAATTTGGTTGATTTATCTTATCTCAATTTGGTTGATTTATCTTATCTCAATTGGGTTGATTTATCTTATGTTAGTTAATTTATCCCTTAAAGGTCGCTCTAACCCTTTTGGACATATTTTTTAACATATTGGTTGATATTTTTTCCATTCATATATCTTATTTTTGTTGGTATATTTCTAATGCATTTTATTACTTTTCTTAACTTATATATTAGTTGATATAATTATGTTTGTTGATTTCTCCCATGTTTTTGTTTAATTATCTTATTTCAGTTTACTTATCTTTTATTTACATGATTTATCTTATTTTTAGTGATTCATCTTATTTCAGTTTACTCATCTTATTTCAGTGATTTATCTTATTTCTAGTGATTCATCTTGTTTTTGTTGATTTGTCTTATTCTGGTTGATTGACCTATAGATTTTTGTTGTGAGTAACAGAGGTTTTCTGTAGAACAATCCAAACCACGTGGAACACATTTGCCTCCTCTGTCACACCCATGGCACCACTTAAAAAAAGACATTACAAACAGTTAAAAAGTAAAAGTTGGGCTGGATTCAATTAATTTGAGCTAGGTCTAGAGATGGTTCAGCCATGTAACTTAAATCTGTAACACAACAGCTGTAGATAGTTGAGTGATGGTACAGTTAAACCCTTAATAAGCCATACATCGAAAGAATTCATCAAATGTCGTATTCTTCACTTTCTGATAATGGAATGTTGCAGATATTTAGTTTTTTAATGAAATAATTATATGGAGCTCTTTACAACTGTTCCCTCATATTCATGGCTATTTATTTATTTTTGCAACTACTGAGATTTACGTAAAATAGTATAAAACCCATTAGACGACATTTAATAAATTCTTTCGATGTATTGCTCATTTAGGGTTTAACTTTAGAAAGTTCAGCGACCTAGCTCGAATTAATTTAATTTGGTCCAGGATTAATTTGGACCATTCTACCGATCTTACTCAGTTTTTTGGAAATAAAGCGAACATTTCTGAAAAGCCTGAGCCATTTATGGAAACCAAAAGATCTGTTTTGAAACACTGAACTTTGAATATAATATTTTTAGGGTTCATTTAAGACGTTCTGAAAACGTACCCACCCAAATTCATGATTTTGAACGTCGACTTTGCGCTCAAACTCAGGAAATATACATCATAGAAATGTTTTATATGTCTAAAATGAATCCTACAAAATTTGTCCACAATACCACGTATTCAGTTTAACTTCCATACATTGCCGGTCACTCCCTTTAAGCTCCGACGTCAGCAAAACACTTGACTTCATTTAAGTCAAGTTCAAAAAGAATTTATTAAAAATTTTGAGAATATAAAAAAAGAAAACTTACCTGGCAATGTGACTGAATAGGGGATCCACCAAAAACCGGCCATTCGACCAAGCATTCACCACAACTACTCAGACTTTTACAGTCACGATCATTCTAAACAATCAATCAATCAAATACTCAGACTTTTAGGGACGTCCTATACTACCCGCATACCATTTTACTTTTTAGGTAAAATCTTAAGTTATGATTTAAACCAATCAAAAATGACCCAAGACAGGTTGACATACCAAACTCTGAACGAATTTAAAGAATTTCGTTCTTTTATATCACCATTTGATTAAAAAATCTCATTAATCTTTGAAAAATTCCCCCAAAAAATATTTAAAAAAAGAAGGTCAACTGTGAACCTGTGAAATCCAGTTCTGGTCACAAACTTGGCCCTTTACAATGTCATCTTGGGAGCAGATTTTGAGATCTCCAGGTTCCCGGGCGTGCAGGTCTCCGGGTTCCCTGGCGTACAGATCTCCAGTTTCCTGGGAGACCTGACTGGCCCGATATTCAGAGAAACATACAGAGGAGTTTCCTTGGTTACAAAAGTTACAGCCTGGACAAGAACACATCAACAAAAATCTCATCATTTAAGTTTTATTCAAAAATTCAATAAATAGTGATAGAACTGATAACTCGCTTTAAACTTGCAATGTTAAATACCTATAATTTCTGCATCCTGATTGTGCTAGCCTTTGAATTTTCAAACTTTGACTATTTGATCTAGCAGAATTCATAGTTTGAAATATCACAGGTACACGACATCATTTTGCACAGATATAGGGACTAAGTATTTAGAGTTAGAGGAGGGTAAAAGGTTTTTTTCTCACATTTTAAGACAAAGTCTGACAGATAATAAAACATAATTTGTTTATATATTAACAATTGATTAATTAATTTATTGAAAAAATAATTGTTGAGTATATCCTATGCCTGTGATATCTAAGCAATCGATCTGGTTGAGTGAAAACAGATTACATACATCCTATCCAATAGTAGTCTCAACTATAGTTATATACTTTCAGTTGGTTTTTTACCTATATCTTCTAAGTTTAATATTCTAAACATTTGCCCTTTTTAAACAATGTCAAATTTTGACCCTGGCAGAAGATAAAAGCAAAAAACGACCAAAAACGATCCAAAAACGATCCAAAAACGACAAAAACGAACGTTTAGTAAGTTGTAACGATCGTTTTTTGCTCGGGTTTCCATATTTTTTGGATAAAAATATTGCAAAAATAAAGCAAACTTTAACATAATACAGTTTTCAAATCTTGGAAGTTTTATTTAATTTTTTCTGAAAACTATCCAACACGATTAATAACCCTGGTCTCAACATTCACTTAGATGCATAGGACATAACAACAAGAAAGAACATGATTTTTTTTGGAATATATTAAAGCTTTTTAAAATTGTAACTTTAGCAATTGATGGAATCTATAATAATTCTTCCTGATTTCTTAATTAAAAACAATTTCAGAAATGGATATCTAATCTACAGTTCAGAAAGAATCATGACGACAAAAACATACTAACAGCGCCAAAAAAATAAGTTAGAAAAAATAAGAAAATGCAGACGTGCAAGTGAAGAAAAATAAAAAGATGAACATGTGGAATTATTTATAAAAAGACATAACAAAGAAAAAATTTAAATCTGAGATATTTTGTTCGCATTGTCAAACTACAGAAATTTCAAAATTGAGAACATTTTGTTCAATTCATGAAAATAATGTTAGGAGTAACTCAAATAGATATATTTATACGATGATGGAGCTACTATTTCCTGCGAGAGTTGAATTCTTGAAATGTACGTTCTGTAAATGCCTCTTACGCCGCCTTTCACAGTAAAATAATATTTATAGACCAAACATAGTTCTCAAGGTTTTAAAGGGATTGTAAGCGTAATTTCAATTGACCCTCCTGACATTGCCAGATTTATAACGGTACTCTTAAAATCTTTGTCTGAACATGAATTATAAATCCGTGTTTTTCTTCATTTTAACTATTTATTTTCATTTGCTAGTTCTCTCAAGAGCAATTCACAGAAATAACATTTTTCGAGTCTGAAAAAACGATGTTATCTTTCAAAGAGTACAGTAGTTGTTAATCGGGCATTGTTATCTTTGCTTAGAGGATCACTTAAAATTCCAGCTTCAGTCGCTTTAAAGCTATAGGTTTTAGTTTAAATAACAAGTTAGACTTGCTTGACCTAGTTCAAATATCATTCAAAAATGTTCATCTCAGGATTTATTTTTATTTTTTACTTTCCTATTGTGACCCAGTTCAAATATCATTCAAAAATGTTCATTTCAGGCATTTATTTTTATTTTTTACTTTCCTATTGTGACCTAGTTCAAATATCATTCAAAAATGTTCATCTCAGGTATTTATTTTTATTTTTACTTTCCTATTGTATAGATGGAACCTTGGCTGAACACAGACCTGGCTCCGAAATTAGAATCAAAGTCCGGACCTAGAGAAAACATATTTATATCTAAAATCCGGACCTAGAGAAAACATATTTATCTCAAATAATACCCAAGACTTGAACTGTTGTATACAGGATTACCCACAAAGGATGAAACTTCTAAGACGACAAAATGTATACTGTCTGTTTCATTATATTCATGATTCCCTTGAATATAGTAATTATAATTATTTACAACTACTTTACAGGGAAGTTAAGGGAACCTACAAAACAACCAACGCGCAGCGAGGGATGTTTTGTAGACAAAATTAGTCGACGGAACCCGTGGTTATGTAACATTTCTATTTTCCCGAAAAAGTAGTTGTACACAATTTTATTGTCTTTTGAGATGAAAATGCGCGAATATTTTCCCGAAAACTTCACAGAACGGGTGGTTATTTTACATAACTGTTCGAAGGGACGTTATGTAACCTAACCTCCCTCTGTTTGGGGAATCATAGGTCGGTAATGTTGGTTGCGATAAAAAGACAATATTCAGGGCAGATGACTTAATTTAACGATGTGATTGTAACATTGTAAAAGTTTCAGATCGTCTTTATAGTCTCATCATTTGTGAGTAACACTGGTGTTAATCTCTTCAGAAAACACTAATACATTTCTGGGTGTTAGGTACTTTCCCAAAGGTATTTTCCCAAGGCATTTTCCCAAGTGGCAACTTCCCAATGTACATTTTCCCAAGCGGCAACTTCCCAAATGTTAGGTAAGGCCTTCTGAGGCGCCGCAGGCTGCGAAGGGGCCGAACGCTGTGGCTGGGAGTGAGAATAACTTGGGAAGTTAACGTTTGGGGAATTGAACATGTGGGAAGTAGTCTCTTGGGAAAATACCCTTTTAGAAAATTAGAAGTTGCCGCTTGGGAAAGTACTTATTACCTAAAATCCATTTCTTGTATGGTCCGACGGGTAAAGTTTGTTCCTTATAGCTAGGGTTTCAAACGCAAGTGGAGTTCACTTGCGCGCAATTGCGAGCCCACTAATTCCGTGCAATTCCGATTAGAAACCCTAATTTTAGCTTTAGTTTCGACCGTTTATACATTTATTTTTATTATTCAGTTTACCACCGAATATGGGCATTCCCCCGGGGCATTCGCATTATACAGTGTCAATAAGAGTTTTTAAATAGTTGAAAATATAAATTAAAAGGCCTGATTACATTTCCTCCCCTGAGACGCCGTTGCAAGGGTGAGGTCAGATTTTGCAGCTTTTGGAAAAATACCAATAATAATAAAACCGTTATTAACAATGAATTTGTTATTTATGCCAGGTTGTTAGAATGTAGAAGATTGTTCAAGCATTGGGTAAAATCAAGGATATATTGAATAGAAGGAGGGGGCGATAGGGTTTCCGTACCCTTTGCTGTGACGTTTTTGGACTGTGAAAGTAGTATTATCTTGTTAAAAAAATTGAAAAGGTTAGGGATATTAGTTCTATACGAAAAGAACCTTATTACATAGACATTTTCAATCAAATTCAAGGTTTATCATTTGTGTTATTGCTTACAATCTTTATTATTGTTGTAACGCAAAAACTAGTTCTTCAGCAGTCCAAAAACGTCACAGCAAAGTGTACGGAAACCCTATCGCTCCCTCCTTGGGTAAAATCATTAAACAAAGCAAAATGTATAAAACTCTGTGCTGCTGTGTTTATTAAAGAAATATATATTACCAATCCATTCAGTCTGTTTCCGCATGAACTTAAAATCCTAAAAAACATTTGATTAATTTTGAATTAATTTATAAAATTGACTGCATATTTTATAAATAGTAATATACAGGGGCGTAAACAGAAATTGGTCCTAGGGGGGTTTTAATATTTAGAACTTTCTAGGGCGAAGCAAGCAGGGGGCGGAAACGTCATGTGTGTGTGTCTGTACCAAGAGTGTGTGTAAGGAATATTGAACAGAAGGTGTGTACTGTAGGTATATACAATGCATAAGAATCTCGGTATGTGTACAGTCTAGGAGAGTACATTTGTTTACTTAAAAATAAGTTTAATATACACGTAATATATTACTTATACATTTAAGTCAATACTATATGCCAAATTTTCATGCAAAGAATATAATTTGATTAAAGTTTATAATAAAGTATAAACTACTCGTTATTCAAGCTTAATTATAATTGACGACATTGTTCTGCAATTTCCTTGACTGTAGTCACGTTGTGTGTCGTACCAAAATAGTGTGTGTAAGGAATACCGAACTCGTCTGCAAAGCAGTGCTACTGGCTTTCTCATGCCAGACGAGCGCCATTGCATTCCCTTTATTAACATTCCTTGGAAGCAAGTCCTTGTTTCCCTTCTAGGAACTGTACTTTTCACTCTTCCAATAGGGAGAGGAGGGGGGGGGGGGGGGGGGGGGTCAACCCTTAGTAATCAATGACAAACCTGTTTTTCAGCAGTGATTTTAACCCATTGGAGGCACTCCAGCCAGAAAACTGAAACCGTTTAACATTCAGACCAGGACAGACAATGAGGTTAATTAAGGGGTATTTATTAAACTTAAAAAGAGACTGTAAGCGTAATTTCAAGTGACCCTTCATGTAAAGTTGGCAATGTCCGATTCACGACGGTATCCTTGAAACCTTTATCTGATCAATGATATAGAATATTTTATTGTTTTTCAGGATTAGAAGTGTTCATTTCTGATAATCCTTCATGTTTTCCTGCAGTAGACATGCGCAATCAGCTTTAAAAAATTTAAAAAATTGATATATAATTCATATTTGATCAGAAATAGCTATTAGTATTACCGTTGTGAATTGGGCATTGCCATAGTTGCATGAAGGGTCACTTGATATTATGATTTCAGCCCCGTTAAATACGGGACTAAAAGGGACTATATCTACATTATTACTAAATACAAAGGTGTAAACATGAGATTTTTCAAGAATTGTATCAACATTTTCTTTTTACCTTTAAATCATTAATCTTCCATACAATATAAATTCAAAAATGTCAATCCTCATTTTAAAACTTCTTAGTAAATAAATGAATAAAAAATACATGCCTCTAAATATTCAGAAATGACCGTTTTTTGGAAAAATATAAATAATTTAGCCAACACCTAGTATAATTTCTTATATTTAAAAAAATGACATTTTTCACTTTATTAAAACGTCTGCTTTCTTTATAAAATGTACTCTTTTTTGGAAGAGTGGTGGAAGGGTTTAGATATCAATCAACGAAATGTCCACATACTTTCAAATTTTACTTTCAAATTCAAACCATATTTGTCATCCCCCGGAATTATATCATTAAATTAAATTGTACCTTTAGTTTAGGAGAAAAACCGGGGAAGGGGAATTCGGAAATACAGGGCTTCTACTTATTTTTTACTTTTTTCATCTCAAAATCAAAAATATAAAAAAACTAAAATGTTTTAATATCTTATTTCTATCATTTTGAATATTTTGTCAACGCCATTTTTAAAAGAAAAATAAAGGTTTAAAGAATATAACTTTTTTGAGACACTCTGCATGATTCCTATAAAGGTTGCAGAAATTTTATTGAACATCTAGACTATATTTGTTCATCTAGTTTATTGAACATCTAGACTATATCTGTTAATCTAGTTTATTGAACATCTAGAATATATTTGTTCATCTAGTTTATTGAACATCTAGACTATATCTATTAATCTAGTTTATTGACATCTAGAATATATCTGTTCATCTAGTTTATTGAACATCTAGAATATATCTGTTCATCTAGTTTATTGAACATCTAGAATATTTCTGTACATCTAGAATATATCTGTTCATCTAGTTTATTGTTATCTCATAAATAAAGAATGGGTCCCAGAACCAGAACATCAAATATATGGTCAAGAGGGGGGAGAGGGATGGGAGGGGGATAGGGGGGAAGGTTGATGGAAAGAGGAGGGAAGTAAAAATGGATACTAGACCATAAAAATAAAACAAATGGATTATATCTAGGTTAAGAGGATGTTTAATTCTCTAGATCTATATCTTTATCTATATATATATCTGTAATCTCGTTTTGTCTCTCTGTTTGTTTGTCCAATCATAACTCAGGAACCCTTGGACTGATTAGCCAAACATTATTAGGGACCTCGGGAGACCCACGGGAATGTTCTTAGCTTGGTTTTGAGATTCTAAAATGAATGGGTCGACTTTAAACAGCGAAAATTTAGTTTCCCGGTAAAATCGTTCAAGTGTGGGTAAACGGCGGAAGTAACTTTTAGTAACCTTGGCAGCGCGGGGTTCTCAAGATTTGGTACGTTTTTAAAACTTTTGATAAAACTTTGCCTTTACTAAGTTAGCATTATTTGTATCCTAAAAAAATTGGAAAACTGTCCGATTTAACATGTGTTCGATTTTTAGCATAATTTTTTTGGCATAGAGTAGAAGATAAGCAAATGTTTAAAATAAGCAAATTTTACATTTACTTTTGTTACACCAAGCTAAATTTTGATTCTGAGAGAAAATATATTTAAAAAAACGAATTAAATTGGTCAACCCTTTTTAAAAAAATCATTTAAAAATAACTTGTCAGTAATTCTCTCGTGTTCTACCTGAATTTAACTAAAATCCTTCAATTTAAACGTTTACACGGTGAACCTGGAGTTTATTGACTGGTATACCAAGTGCATTATCAGAACCAAAGTTCCAACCTCTTCTGCTAAACTTCTCAAAATTAAAATATTTAAATACAGACTCTATAGTAGACCTCACATTGAAAAATGAAGTTTTAAACGACAAGCAATTCAAGCCCAATGATACAACTGCCTGGGATAAATATAAAGACATTGTTTAACCTCATAGACGTAGTTCAACCAGTTCTCTTCAGCTTGAACACAAGTGGTTGAACTACATCTGTGTGTGGTTCAGCTACTTCTTTCTATTAATTAAATCCTCGATCAGGGATCTAATTTAATAAATTTGAGCTACGTTCTTGAACTACCTAATGACGGTTTAAATTTGAACCACCGATTCAAAGTTGAAAATTAAAGGAGTTTTTGAATTGATGATTCAAATTTGAACCGGCGGTAGGCAGTTCAAATCCATTAAATTGGGTCCCTGGTCGAGGTCCCCGATGTCTGAATGTGTGTTGCCTAGAATGGTGTTGAGCTTGCTGTTTGGTGGATCTGCTCCAAGGAAAATCAAGGAGTTGGGAGTCTCTACTCCAGAGTGGAACATTCGACCACTAATAGTATTTCCGCTGGAGTACACAGCCTGGAATATTATTAAAGGAATTGTAAACATAATTTCAAGTGACCATCCAAGCAAAGATGACAATGTCCGATTCACAACTGTACCCTTTCAAGCTTTGTCTGATCAATAGGGAATTAGAAATATTAATTTTGAAAACTGATCATTTTCAACAGTGGTTTCTCTAAAAAAGTTACTCCCGCATATCTGAATAAAATAATGTTAAACCTAGAAAAACGACAATATCCTCCACATCATTGATCAGAGAAAAACTTTCAATGGTACCGTTGTTAATCAAGCATTGCCATCTTTGTACGGGGGGTCACTTGAAATTACGTGTTCAGTCCATTTAAGAACTTAATTCTATCTTCAAACATGACCTTAATGTTTTTCAGGTTGGAAATTAATGTTTCCAAAGGAATTATTGCCAAAATTAAAATAGATGCTAAAATTTTTAATTTTTTTTAATAGATTTGATTTCCAAAATTTTGTACTTATCCTGCCGCTTGATAATCCGGTGAAAAATTTTCATATCATTGATAACTTTTTATAATTTCTCAAATCGAACAATGATAACATATCTGATTTCCCCCATATATAGTTTATACATACAACCAATGAAGACTATTCGTATTTTTACCATCCAAGTGTGAAAATGCAAGGTTTACTTTAGTGAATTGTGAATTATAAAATTGCAAGTTTCACACATTAGTCAAGTGTTAAAATGCAATTTCCTTTTTCTAACTTTATTTTACACGGTTACAAATTGTCTTGTCAACTATAAGGCTTGGAAACCCAGTGGTTCTTCTACTACTCTAGTTTTACACTGTAAAAACTTTAGGGACATTAGTTATTTAGTTATTTAAGCGTAAATACATCGAATCTAATTACAAAAGTTCTGGTTGAATTGTGACAGATTTAGCCCGGGGACAAAACTATTCAGTTTTTACCTTAAACCAATCTAACTTGGAGAAAGTTAAATGAGTTGCTTTAGCTTTAACTGAAAAACTAAAAGAAAGAAATGGTGTATCCATGAGGGCTGTACGTACGTTAGTAATAAGTATGTGTTCTGTCCGAACATGAATAAGTATGTGTGCTGTCCGAACATGAATAAGTGTGTGTACTGCCCGATCATGAATAAGTGTGTGTGCTGTCCAAATATGAATAAGTATGCAGTGTTCTGTCCGAACGGCAATTTTTTATGTGTGCTGTCCGAACGTGAATAAGTGTGTGTGCTTTCCGATCATGTATAAGTATGTGTGCTGTCCGAACATGAATAAGTATGTGTGCTGTCCGAACATGAATAAGAATGTGTGCTGTCCGAACATGAATAAGTGTGTGTGCTGTCCGATCATGTATAAGTATGTGTGCTGTCCGAACATGAATAAGTGGGATGGCTGTCCGGACGTTATTAAAAAGTATAAGTGGGCTGTGTGGACATTAACAAGTTTGTGGACTGTCCGGGCATTAGGTGGAATGTCTGGACATTAATAAATTTTTGGGCTATCCGGACATTAATAAGTAGGAAGAATGTCCGGACATTGATACGTAGATGGAGGTCCGGACATTAATTAGTAGGTGGAATGTCCGAACATTAATAAGTAGGTGGGCTGTCTGGACATTAATAAGTAGGCGGAGTGTCCGGACATTTATAAGTAGGTGGAATGTATGGACATTAATAAGTTTATGGACTGTCCAAACATTAATGAGTAGGTGGAATGTCCGGACATTAATAAGTAGGTGGGTTGACTGGGCATTAATAAGTAGGTGGAATGTCTGGATATTAATACGTAGGTGGAATGTTTGGACATTAATAAGTTTATGGGCTGTCTGGACATTAATAAGTTTGTGGACTGTCCGGACATTAATAAGTAGGTGGAATATCTGGACATTAATAAGCTTGTGGGCTGTCCGGACATTAATGAGTAGGTGGAATGTCCGAACACTAATAAGTTTATGGGCTGTCTGGACATTAATAAGTTTGTGGAATTTCCGGACATTTATAAGTATGTGGAATGTATGGACATTATTAAGTAGATGGAATGTCCGGAAATTAATAAGTAGGTCGGCTGTCTGGACATTAATAAGTTTATGGGCTGTCCGGACAATAATAAGTTTGTGGGCTGTCCAGACATTAGTAAGTAGGTGGAATGTCCGGACATTAGTAAGTAGGTGGAATGTCCGGACATTAATAAGTAGGTGGAATCATTATTACTCAGATTTTTTTTTAATTTAAAAAATGAGGAAAGTTTCTTATTTTAAATTGTTGAAATCATTTGAAATTTGGCCTGTTTTTCGCGTCTTTTTAAAACGCCTTAAACCTACTTTAGGAACACTTTTTCATTAACTAAATTCAAAGTCTAAGACCACTTGGAAGTGGCCTCATAATACTCATGATTATGGGACACCCTGTATATTGAAAGGAATGTTACGGAAAATAACCAACAAAATCTATCTTTGATCTCTCCAATAAATTCATAATTAATTTAGTTTTCATTGATCTTCTATAGTTTGAAACTACAAACCATTTTGTCTAGAATAACGAACCAACATAAATATTTACAGCTTAATTATTCAGATTGATAATATCGAAATTTTAGGACTTTTTTACTGGAAACTTTTTTTCCAAGAACTTTTTTGGCGGTCACAATCTTTTTGTGAAAATTTGTTTGGTTATTTGAGGCCCTGCTTGGGTCCGATCGGCTCAGCCGTCCCAAAGTTTTTGGGATAAAAACAAATATAATAAATGTAAAGGTTTTGTTTTGTTTACAGTGATAAAAAGAAAACAATGGAATAGGAACATTATTGCAATACTTAAGTGTATCTATTTGATGTTGTTACAAAGCAAATATTTGCATTATTATTATTTATTTCGGGTCATCACTGAAGCTAAACTTGAAAAGGTAAAAAATATATAATAACTCAACTAAAAACCCTGTTTTCTTTGTTAAAAATGGAAATTTTTGATTTTTTTTCTTACTTTAGAATGTTTAGGACTGAAGGGTAAAACAGACCAGACTTTTGTATCAATATTCAAGCAGTAGAGATAACTTTGGCTTGAATCACTGCTTGCAGAGCTCCCAACCAAACCAAATACAAACAGGGTTTTCATCCCTTCACATAAACATAATATTCAATATGTTAGAAATCTGAAACTCTAAAGTGTACATTGTACATGGGAGTGGGTGGGCCCCGGAAGTAAAAACTGACATGCTTTTATTTCTCAGAAAGATTCACAATTATAAGATTGATTTCTAGAAAGCTGATATATTTAGATTTAAACATTTAAAAAATTTAAATAAAATTAAATCTTTTAATTCAGAATTAAGATAATATTTTTTTATAGCATTTTAGTACAATGAACACTAACTTTCAAAACAGATTTTATTGGGAAAAATTTCTTATTTTAACCTTAAGGCTCGCTAGAAAAGGATTTGAAATTTTGAAATCAGAAATTTAATTTTGATTTCCGTAAAACTTTTTTTAGTTAAAACTTAAAACCTAATTTTATGATTCATCATTAAAGGTGAATTTAAAGCATGACCCATGACCAAATAACCGTAAAAAAGAAATGTCGTCTTTATATTCCACCGCTTTATGGGTCTCACTGAAAATTTTTTATAAAATATTATGATTTCCTTGAATATAAGAAGCTGTGTGTCCAAACAAACTTGTTGGAGGGAAACCAGTTGTTTTAATCCTCTTCCATGTACTGTACTGCAGGAGATACTCGTAAACAACACCGTTCAAACCTATACAGTGTACATAGGGGTGTTTAGTGCTGATTTCGAGATCATAATTTAAAATGATTTTTGGTTTAATATAATCATAACCACGTACTGGGAAAACTAAAATTCGTAAGGTTTCCGTCTGCTATAGTTTAGAATTTATTTGTTTATGTTTTGATTGCATTATACGGTTGTATTAAATTCAGTAAAACAAGAAGATTCCTTTATGAAAACAAAATGAACAAGTAACAAAAAATTGACCTGATCGGTTTAGCAATTTTGACATTTATGGAAAAACAAGCTTTTATAGTACATATGTAAGTTTAAACCCTAATCTAACCTGTATCCTGAGAATATCCGCCTATGATGAGAATGGATCTTGAGTCTGGTATATAGGTGAGCGTATGACCTGCAAGCGAGATCTCAACCTTCTCATTATCTATACTACGCTTCTAAACATTTATTAATATAATAGGAGTTTATTTTCTCACTCCGAAAAATTTCAATATGGTATGCTCTATAAGTTTGATGTTAATCCAATGTGCAAAAGGAGAGTTGAGGGGGGGGGGAGAGTTCAATTCGACAATGTGAGAAACCAAAAGAAGGGCTGTGTTTGCTCCGAAATAAAGAGCTAGAAATAATTTAGCATGCAGAGTTCAATTGTGATCATCTACAAGAATTATAACGAAAATTTGGAATCGGAGGTCATTAATCTCAATTTTGACCTGAGTAAGAAAATAGAGGAAAATACAACATTTTAATTCAAACTTGTATTCTTCATTTTAGCGTTGTATCTGTACAATAAACATTTTAGCGTTGTATCTGTACACTAAACATTTTAGCGTTGTATCTGTACACTAAACATTTTAGCGTTGTATCTGTACACTAAACATTTTAGCGTTGTATCTGTACACTAAACATTTTAGCGTTGTATCTGTACACTAAACATTTTGGCGTTGTATCTGTACACTAAACATTTTGGCGTTGTATCTGTACACTAAACATTTTGCACATTCTAAAGTTTGTTTACCTCTATCGTATGAGTCAATGACTCCCAAACAAGATCATTAAGATCAAATCTCCAAAAATCTGAGAGCTCTTCATTAAAATTCATCCCACCATGGATATATAGGGAGTTCGACTCCAGGGCATAGCAGGCAGCATGGAACAATCTAGAACAAAATATTCTAGAGCAGCATATTCTAGAACAGGATATTCTAGAGCAGCATATTCTAGAACAGGATATTCTAGAACAGAATATTCTAGCATAGGATATTCTAGAACAGGATATTCTGGCACAGGATATTCTAGAACAGGATATTCTAGAACAATCGGATTCACAGCAGTACTTTTAAAAGCTTTGTCTAAATCAAGAATGAATTAAATTTCCACGTTTTTGTTTTGTTTTTGGAAATTTTTTATTTTGATTAGCGGTAACTGCACATTTCTTGATCTAGAAACAATGGAGAAATAAGAAATTAACACTTTTTAAGCAAAAAAAAACGTCCACATTATTGATCAGTTTAAGGTTTTAAGCCATAAGGTTGCCCTGTGAATTTGGAATACCCTACTCAAAATGGGTCAACTAAAACTACGACGGAAGTCTCATTAAAAAAATAAAAAATGAGTTTTCTTCCTATCTTTCATTTTAATTATTCTTAGTCAGACCATTCTCTTTGATGTCTTATAAAGACAGTCGTAAGATTTTCTGATATTTTTCAAAAAATAGAAAATAAAAATTGAAAAAGAATTGAGTTTTTGCAACAAGCTCTACTTTTCTAATTCCTATATCTTTAAAACTTGGAGAACAATTTTTTGAAGAAAAAACGATATTACAAACATATCACTTAAAAACAAATACCATGTTACATTTTGCAAAAATTAAAGATAAAAAATTCAGCCACACCCATCCCTATCCCAGATCCTTATAGAGTACCATTTATCATAACATACATATTCTGATTTGTCCTCATCTACTGAACAGCATACAGGATGTCACAAAATATTTACAGAAGCAAAAAACACCAAATACGCTTTATAACAGGCACAAATAAATTTCCCTTTTTTTCAAATATTAAAATTTTCTGAAGTTTTTTTTTCAGCAAAGTTAATTTGCTTCCGGACTTATTAAATTGTTTTTCTAGTCTAGAGAGGCGGGTCACAACGGTCCAGACTGCTATGAAAAGTTGCATCAATTTGAATTCTGAGACTATTTTGAAGCGACGTAACAACGCCTTGGCCAATAATTTACCACACTAACTTTTGAAACTTTTGGACACTTTTCATAAGGGATGTTCCCAACCATGATATTTAGATTTTAGGCCTAAAAAACAAGGTGGACATTTTTTCTGAAAATAAATAATGGGACACCCTTAGCTAGACGATAGACGGTGTACAATTGTTACAAAGAGAATATAAAGTATAGAATATAACATGAACAAACTTTTAGGAAGAAGTAGAGAATAGAGTAGACTAGAGGGGGGGGGTAGAGTTGTAGTGTATGCAGTATACGCAATGTATATACTTCTCTTGTCTGGGTGTTTCTATGTTTGTTTGTAACCAATAAACGTAAAAACGGCTGAACCGGTCGGGGTCCAATTTTTTTTGTGAGAAATCACCTCAGGGAAAGTTTATGGATGCTCAAAATTACAAAAAATGGTCTCCAAAATTTTCGATTGTCGTATAATTTTAAAATCCACTAAAAAATTCTACATCCGCAAAAAAATTGTATTATTGTTTTTTGCTGAAAGATTAAGCAACAATTAGTTAAAATAGAAATAACGTAAAGAGAAAAAATTATGTTAGCTATTTTTTGTTTTTTATAAAATCTCCTGAAAGACAAACTCCTGAAACACAAACTCCTGAAACACAAACTCCTGAAACATGGATGAATTAAAGTAGATATGAAGTAGACATATAATTTTAAGGTCTTGCGAGTAGTTGTTAATAAGGAACTAGACTATACTAGTATTTGAACTATTTGAAAAGAAATCTGAAAAAGAGGTCCCGTTATGAACCCCCCAGACCGCCGGCAGGCATGGGAAGCACCGTCCCACACCTACTAGTACAAACGTCGGACCCACAAAGTCGAAGTCTTCAGACCGGCACACCCTCCAGCAGTCGTGCTGTGAAACAACTTGCCTGGGCGGCGAGCATCAGGAGAATTTTACGCTCTTTCTTAGCAATTTTAGACCGTACAAACGTCTTATAGGTCTTTAATGATTTTTTAAAAAAAATCCCTACAATTCGGCACTATTAGCTCAACTACTATGTCTAGCCAGACGCTCCCTTTAATTCAGTATTCTTTCTAACATTTTAGGGAGAAACGGAGAGAGGGGAGGGGGCAGCCAGCATTCATTAAATAATCATTTGAAGGTTAAACTTTATTAGGCAAGAAACTTCATTCCCAAGAGCTTACAAGGGATTTTTATTATTCCTGTGCAGAAAACTGAATAAAATATCTATTCTGATTAAAAATCTACGTCGATTTAAAGTAAAGGGACTGAGTTTTTGCCACAAACTCAAATATTCTAATTACAATATCTTTACAACCAAACTGTGTAAACCTTAGATTTTTCAAACTTAAACTATTTTGATCTTACAGAATTCATAGTTTGAAATTTCAACATCAGGTTGAAAAGATATAGAGATTAAAAAATTAAAAAGTTTGTGTAAAAAAATCATTTCCTTTACTTTGTATTGAAACCATAACTTTTTTTCCAAAGATATTAAGAGAACAGGAAAAAAGTTTTGATATTTTAATATGCAGCAAAATACATTTGAATTTCTTTAAATTGGACATTAGGTTTTTTTTCAATTTAAAAATTCATTTTTATGGAATCCTACGTGGCAGCTAGTCCATACGCAATCAATCTGAAAACGACGATATCCCAGAGGAGCCTGAATACCTGAGTGCAACTCAGTGGATAACTGAAAAAGACTAATGAAACGAAAAATGCATATTCAAACTCTAGGGTCACCAATTTAGCGATCCCGTAAACACTGACAAAGGGTTTCGTATAACTGTCCTGTCCTGGTGGACTAGCTGCCACATAGGATTCCAGAGGAGAGACGCCTTCTCTTAAAAAAGTTATGTTTTTAAGGTTTAACGTCTTATGGACATAATGTCATAACTAGAGGCGCTACGAGGTTATAAAATCAAAAAATTAAAATTAAACCATTACAGTGAAAAACTAATATTGCTAATTAAACCCCCCCCCTTCCCCTCCAAATCATGTTCCTGTTCGTTGTCAATATTTGCCAAGAGCATCTTAAGATTAGAATAAGATAATACTTTCTCAAGGGTATATATTTTCTTTTAATTCAAGAAAAATTTCCAATAAAAAAAAAATTGGAAAAACATGACTTTTCGGGACAAAAGCATACATGTGTATTATATATCTATATCTATCAATATACTTTGCTTGTCTGTTTGTTTGTTTGTCTGTTTATATCCCTTAAACGTCAAAACGGCTGAATGATCAGGTCTAAATTTGTTGTGGGAACTCATATGACCCCAGAGAAGGTTTATAGCTGGTCGAAATAAAAAAATGTTGCTTAAAAAAGACATATTTACAATTATTGAAAATAAGTGAATATTATGGAAAATAAGTGAATTTAAACAGAAAAATCCGCACAATTTTTTTTATTGATGAAAAGCAAGGTGGCCTGAAAATTGTATTATATATTTACCCCTTTATACTTTATTTCTTTCTTATCCTGTCAGCTTATAAATCCTCTTAGAGAATGTTGTACAATAAAGTAACTATATTCATGTTCTATATTTGTTTGTATAATATATATAATATATATTGTAGTACATTCTATAGTGAATATAAACAAATAAACAGATATAACCAAAAAAGTGAGTAATTTCCCCCAAACTTGGTAATTCTCTACTTTTAGTTGAAATCCTTGACAATTATTATCTAAATTCAATTTTTTTTAATTCGACACCAAAATATTGTTTAACAAAATTCAATTAAATTTTGACTTTCTCTAATTTCCCCCAAATGTTTCTTCGATTTACTTATTGTAAATTTTTTTACTATCCTACTCGGTCCCCTAGCCTTTCCTAATCTCGCCCCTCTTTTTATTTGTGCGGGGGGTAATGCCCATTGCCCATGCAGAATAATCAGATTATTGTAAATACTATAAAAATCAGACAACCAGCCAATCATTCAACCTTTCAAAATAGTGATAAAAAGGAAACTAATTCCAAAATAATGCTAATAATGTTCAAATTCGCTGCCACACTACAAAATTTATATTTCTGAAATAAAAACTTATATTTTTGCTATGACAAACTCCTAAAAGACAACCTCCTAAAATAAAATCTCAGGAAAAACAAATTCCTAAAAGATCATCTCCTGACAGACAAACTCCTCAAAAACAAACTCCTGAAACACAATCTCCTAAAAGACAATCTCAGGAAAATCAAACTTCTAAAAGATTATCTCCGGAAAGACAATCTCCTGAAAGACACTCCTGAAACACAATCTCCTAAAAGACAATCTCCGAAAAAACAAACTCCTAAAAGATTATCTTTGGAAAGACAATCTCCTGAAAGACAAACTCCTGAAACACAATCTCCTAAAAGACAATCTCCGAAAAAACAAACTCCTAAAAGATTATCTCCGGAAAGACAATCTCTTGAAAGACAAACTCCTGAAACACAATCTCCTAAAAGACAAACTCCTAAAAGACAATCTCCTAATAGACAATCTCCGGAAAAACAAACTCCTAAAAGATTATCTCCGGAAAGACAAACTCCGCAAAGGCAATCTCCTAAAAGACAACCTCCTCAAATACAATCTCAGGAAAAACAAACTCCTAAAAAGATCATCTCCTGACAGACAAACTCCTCAAAAACAAACTCCTGAAACACAATCTCCTAAAAGACAATCTCAGGAAAGACAATCTCCTAAAAGACAATCTCCTAAAAGACAATCTCCTAAAAGACGATCTCCGGAAAGACAATCTCCTGAAACACAAACTCCTGAAACACAAACTCCTGAAACACAAACTCCTGAAACACAATCTCCTAAAAGACAATCTCCGGAAAAACAAACTCCTAAAAGATTATCTCCGGAAACACAAACTCCTAAAAGACAATCTCCTGAAAGAAAAACTCCTGAAACACAATCTTTTAAAAGACAAACTCCTAAAAGACAAACTCCTAAAAGACAATATCCTAATAGACAATCTCCGGAAAAACAAACTCCTAAAAGATTATCTCTGGAAAGACAAACTCCTTAAAGACAATCTCCTAAAAGACAATCTCCTAAAAGACAATCTCTGAAAAGACAAACTCCTAAATGTTTTTTAAAATTTTGAATTCTTTTAAATACAAACATTTACATGTGATTATGTAAGGTTAATGTTAGGTGAATCCTCCTCAGGGAGGAGGGGGGAGGGGGGGAGGAATTATGTTCGGAATTTCATAGATTTTTTAATGAGAGCAACTATACCTAGGTGGAGGAGAGGAGAGCTCCGAGGTCTTCTCCAATGTTTGAAAGTTGACAATTTTAAACATTTCCGTCTTGGTATCAAACGCTCTCAAATCCTAAAACATTAACATTCAATTAAATTCAATTAAATGCAGTGGCGGACATAAGGGGGGTTATTGGGGTTATTAACCCCCCCCCCTAGAATCCTGGGGGTAAATACCCCCCCTAGAATCCTGGGGGTAAATACCCCCCCCCCCGAATCCTGGGGGTAAATACCCCCCCCTAGAA